AAACTCAGAATTTAAGCCCAAAGATGTGCAACCTTGCTTTATTAATTACAAAAAAGCCTCTGAACACAAGGCTAAACTGTAGCTCAAGGAAAAAACTCATTTATAAAGATTTCAAAAATACATTTTAAATGAAAAATAAATGACGTTCCTTTGTATAAATTTCAAGGTTTTTAATATTATTGCTTCTATCCCTGTGATGGGAAAGTCCATTTAGTGTGCAGATAACAGATTGTACCACACAGCATGGTCATTCCTGTTACAAAAATATTAGCATTACCGCTTTGTGTCCACTAGATGGCGGTGTTGCCTTTTTAGCTCCATAGTAGTGAGGATTCACCTTTTTTTTTTATCTTAATTCTCTTTTTCTGGCACATTTGTGAAGAAAAACAACTCGAAAAACAAGTAAAAGAGAGTAATGCAATAATGTGGAAGTAGAACGATAAGTAAAGTGCATATTCATACAACATATCAACTCTCATACATACATTTCTTTCTAGTTTTACTATTTCGTGCCGTTTTTTGAATAATAGATTTGAAAATAGATTTAAAAAAAGCTCCATTCAGACACTTAAACCCTGTTAGGATGTTCAGATGCAGGTGAAACACCCTGCAGGTTTATTCTGTAGGTCTTTAGCTATCCAGCCCCTGTTAATGCTGGAGCTGGGAGGATACAGCAGCCTCCTCTAAGGCCTGGGCAGGGAAGTCAGGACACAGGGTAGCAGAAAGGGTCAAGCCCGATGTTCACTTTAGTGTCCAATAACGTCTCCCTCATCTGCTGGTTTTCCCGTGTCGCTGCCTGCCACACCACCTCCAGCTCCTCCTCCACTTCCCTGAGAAAAAAAAAAAAAGTTGGTCAGTCCCTGCTTCGATCACAGTGCCTCTCGGAGTAATCGGTGGATTTCACTTGAGAAGCTGGCTAAAAAATCTCTGCCGGGGGTCTGAAAGGAGTGAAGCATGCAGTAAATGTGTGAAACTGACTTGAAATAAATTCAGAGAGATCTTCAGCTGTTTCTTTTTGGCCTTTTGAGTAGGCCTGAGGATGCCTGCTGATTTCCACAGTGGGACTAGCATAACTGTCAAGGCAATTGTGACTGTTAGAAAAGCCAATTATTCCCAGAGAAAAGTCTGGCTTGTTGGTTTCAGCTGTTTAGATAGAGACCAGGTCTATTTAAGCAGGGACTGCTGTGGATCTATAAAGTGGAACCAAATGCATACATATTGCTGTGAAGAAGTTTTCATTCCCATACACATTTAATCTGTTCTCACTACATAATTTATAAGGTAAATGAAACAATTTTTTATCTGACAAGGAGCACCTGAGGGAACATGTCAACAGTGATTACTTTCTATCAGCGTGGAGAGTTTCCCTAGCCTCGTGAGACCATCCTGATCTCGCGATCTTTCAAGGTTTCACTCGCAAATCAGTCTGGAGACTCTCCGTTGAAGAAAATTTGGAGCCGTTCACCAAACGAACGTCCAATCAGCGTTGGCTTTGAGGCGGGTTGAGGTGTGACGCAACGAGAAGCGCGACAGTCCAGTCTAAAGAACATGGCCGATTCAGCCGATGAAACTAGCGTTAGCGAGTATTTCTTCACTGAAAGA